AATGGTTGTTTGCAGACTTGTAGCCACTCCCTATTTAACATGGCTTCTCCTTGTCTTAAACCCTTTACCTGATAAAAGTCTAGTACCGAAACATCGCAAATAAATGTAATATTGCAAGTTAGACACTGTGCAGGAGTTTATTTTTGCAACTTTTGATCTACTCATCCAACTCCTACGCACCTGTCTCATGGAACAGATGTTTAGAATTTTTTTCATCTGCTCAGACATGGCAAAATATCTGCTTTGAAAAAATGCCTTATAATGATCAAAATCAAAGGTTACTTCCAATAAACATTTTCAATTATAAATTCACCCATACCTTAGTGAGTATCTTACTTACAGCCTCCTGCATTTCCTGAGAGTTATATCCACGAAATGATAAAATAAATGCTGCTCAAAAACTTGACTGACACTGCCTGTGCTTGAATTGAGTGTAACTAAGGACATGGCTCTGCAAACATTACTTGAGGATTATATTGTTTGCCGTCTCTGTGCAGAGAAGCACATCTTAGAGAATGTGTATCGCTTGTTTGTGTAACCTGTAGATGTGAAGAGCTCTCAGGAGCTGCATCAAATTGAATTCTCCCCTCACTTGATATGTGAGCTCATTTAAGCTCCTCGGCTTTGCATTCCTACTTCATCACAACACGATGCACCAGACATGATCCTCAATCGCCTTTTCTTTTCTCATGAAACTTCCTGTGATGCAAGTTTCATCCAGACACTTCTAAACACAGAGAGGCAAGCTCAAAAGTGTAAAAAAATCATCGCATAAGAATGAAAGAAAGACACAGAGAGATGAAAAGGGAAGGAGAAAGAGAGGTTTTAAGTAGGCCCACTGGCCAAATGATAACTAAAAACACATGGTTGTACTATATACAGATATATATTAGGTATATGAAAGATGTCATCATAAAGAAAACATCACATCACAATATCATCAGGCAGAGGAGGCACATTTTGTTCAGTGTTTTATGTTTTGAATGAGTTTTCTGAAGCCAACTCACCTCCTCAGTTTCTGCTGTTGTGCTGTCCTCCACATGCATCAAAGGAGATGAAACTAAAGAGATAATTCGCCCTCTCCTCTTTCTCACCCAGAGTCACTGCTATTACCTTGTAACCAACAAGGTAAGTTACAAACTCTGTGTGACCCCAGCTAGGTGTAGTGGTGGCAAGTCATTGCCTCACTGTTTTTCAAGGTTATGGATGAATAGAAGCAGGCTAAGGTCAGGAATATTATGGAATATATGCAGGTCTCTGTATGCTGGATCTCTCACAGTAGGTGCAAGAATCCAGGATTTCCAGTAGAACAGCGGGGCACAAACAGAGAGACCGGGTGATGCAACTAACATGAAACTGACGTGATAACTACTAGAAAAGCAGCAGGAGGCTGAAAACTGACAGAACTCATGAGGCTCTTGCTATGGTAACCTGTCTGCATGTAACTCCTCATATGTAATGAAGCTACAGGTTTGCTTGGGAAACATACAGTGTGACAAACTGTCAGTAGCACCTATAAAATGTATCATCAGGTTGTGTAATCAGATGACTACTTATGTAAAATGTTATTTCAGCACCAGTTTCAAGCATTAAAGCTATATAATATTAATATACAACAGCCGGGAGATGTACCTATTCTGTCTTCTCTAATTTTGATGGTTGTGTTGAGATTTTAAAAAGAGAGTCACATGTTCAAATGCTTCAGAGTGAGTTGACCCCTGACTTTATAAATATGTGGAAAACAGAAAGCCTTAAATCTTGGGGGGAAAATATTTTTTATTATTTATTAAATTATTATTTAATAAAAACGTTTTAGGTAGTCCAGAATGAGTACAATTTTACAACTGTATAAATATTAGTGACATCAACTTTCCAATAATACATAACAAGAAGCTAAATAAGTCTCAGTCCAGGAGGTGGTGCTAATGCTACCACCAGAAGAAGAGCTTCTAGAAGTATTTGTAATTGGATTGTAGATTGAAAAGAGGATAGTTGTTCCAGAAGTTACAGGAAAGTCAAATGATTAAAAATTTAAGTTTTGTGTTCACCATACCCAATTAAGATGCAGATGTTAGCAAATGTAACATAACTGATCTGTACACAGTGGAAATGAATGACTGTGTGGAGGAAAATCAGATAAGGTACAAATTATATTCTGATGAATTAATGAAATTATTGAGTTATGGGTGTAACTATGAGCAGCACACAAGACACCATAAATGCATGCAAGCCAGGACCAGAGTGCTGCATATTCAACTCTGAGAATAGAAAGGTAACTGGACTTTAAACTTAAAAGCTTACGTTCAATAAAGTTAACATTACACCTGAGATATACGGCATAATCACCTCTTAAATAACTGAGCAAGGACCTTTGGCCCATGTGTGATTTACTCCATGCGCATAAACACCTTCTAATTTATTCTGTCTATCCTGTAAATCTATGAACCCCAAGAAAACATCGGTTTTAGGCTCTTTTAAGCTCTATATCTCTGTAGCATGGTTTAATACTGGGGATACACATGCATGCTCCCAGCAGAGTCATCAATTCATCAGGAGAAAAACCTAGTAAGTATGTATATAAAGTCACTGAGCCAAAACTAATTCTCTGTGTCCTTCTTGTATGTGCCTTCCTCTCTGTAATGTATTATTTATATTTTTCTCTGATTTATTGTCATTTCCACTTACAACACCATAAATGAACCACATTTAAAGGTCCAGTGTGTAACATTTAAGAACTATAATCAGAAATGAAATATAACATTCCATTAAATATTTTGTGAATAAAGGAATTGTTGTGTATTCGTTTCCTTAGAATGAGCTCTTTTTATCTACAGAGGAAGCTTGTCCTCTTCTACCGAAGACGCCATGTTGATCTGCCAGGTTTCTACAGTAGCCCAGAACAGACAAACTGCGAGTTTTGTGGCCACCGTCATTTCTCTTATGCTCTTGGAGGCTGAGCTGTATTCAGATGGTGGCAACTGTAACTTCACCACTAGATCCTAAACACTGGTCCTTTAACATATTCTGCAGGTCAGACTCAGCCAACAGAAGAACAACAATCAGGGTCTTTCAGCCTTAACTGTCATATTTTCAGTATTTCATTGCATTGAAATTTTGTCCTCTGCATGTGACCCACCCTAAACTTGGAGCAGTGAGCAGCCATAGGTGCCTGGGGAGCAACTTGGGGTTCAGTGTCTGGCTCAAGGACACTTCAACATATGTACAGGGGGAGCTGGGGAGTCAAACCGACAATCCTGCAGTTAGAGGACAACCCACTCTTTTACTGAGCCACTGTATCATCCACATATAATAAAGTACCCAATTTAAAATCATCCAAGCATATGCCTAAATTAGCTTCCTTAATCTGTAGAGCCAAGTCATTCACAAATATTGCAAAAAGAGTGATATCAATTATACAAGGTGTGGACTGCTTTACAAAATACCCACTTCCATAAGTTTAATGTGCAGGGGTGGATTTAGCTAATTTTATCACAAACAATCACATGTATCAATATCTGCTTGGAAAAGCCTGCAAACTAATATATTTTAACTCAGTATCATTACCTTATTGTACATTACTATTTCCAAATATATTTATCTTTCTTTGAACTCAAGTGTATCACTTAGTCTAAAATGTGGCCATGATAATGGTTATTTAACACATGTTATTTTTGACAGCATTTGACGCCAAACTGGGGTGGCCCGGCATTTTTAGTGATGGCAGCTAGCACCCCATGCCACCCCTCTAATTCCTGTCCTGGTGATGTGATCCAATATGGCTTAATCTTACCTGTTTTCAGATGTGTCCCTTACTGACTTGAAATATCAGGTCTTGTCAACAGACATGTATTAATTTCTCAACAAATCCCATATCACAAAATAACAACAATTCTAAACATTAATTTGTGTTTTCTCACAACCTCATTTACTGATAAATTCCAAGAGAGCAAGGCGACACATATTGGAAGAAATGACATTGTCTGGGAATATTGGTTGTCTTTTAGTTGTCTCACTGTAACATTTGTACATTTGTGACTTGTATCTCTCTCCTATAAGGTCAATACATGCAGGGTCATCAGTCAAAGGCTCAGATGAGGTGATTGCCTTAAAGTTAATACAATCCAGACAATCACAGGAGGTTGTTATATAAATCACAGCAGCTTTTCCTCCTGGTATGGAGGTAAAGTTGTCATGAGCAGGATTTATTGTGTGTTAAACTGCCCTCATCTTGAGCTGGATTACACGTGTATGCAACTGCTACACAATATATACAAGTGTTTTTCTGTGTTCCACCACAGAGAGGAATAAAAGGAAATAAGAAAGCGTGAGCAAGCACAGAAAGGGTTAAAGATGGGAGAAAGTACTGGAAATATCACTGACAAACCTTCGTATATGAACAAGTGATGGACAATGGAAGATGTTTTATGTCAAACATACAAAGAATATTTTTATTTCACAGAATGGGGGACAGGTCTGTTTCTATTATATTACGTCCACATCAGACACATGTCTTCCTCAGAGATGTTGGATGTGGTAAAAATCTGAACTACATTTCTGTCACTCATGACTCAAAGCTAAAACAATAGTGTTTCATTATGTGTGGCATTTATTTTATTTTAATGCTAGTATTTTCTTCTTTATGATAGTTATATATATTAACCACAGCTGACAGTAACTTCTCCTACTGAAAACTTACATTATTTGTCCACTAAGTGGCAGGAAACACATGTTGGACAGATGTAAGTCGTTGTAGTTTGCTCTGATTAGTCTTATTTGTGACTAAAAGCTCATCATAGAGTTAGGTTCATAATGTGTCCGTATCTTATCAATTTAATGATTATTGATTGATTCAACATTCACAATTTGTTTTCCCTCCAGTGCGCTTACTTTATGACTAAAACGTCAAGAATATAACCTGACAGGTGACGGGGTGAATTAAAATATATATAATACATGTTGACAATAAAACAAAATGTCTTTGCAGTTTTTAATATACGCCACGGGGGTCAAAGTTGATCAGTTCGCCTCAAAATGGCGGCTGAACCAACACGGGAGTGGAGCGATGAGCAGCTCAAAAGTGATGATTTACCCAAAAAAGACATTATAAAGTTCATTCAGGACAATGCAGCCCACTCGGTACGTGTATCACTTCAGTCTGTTTGTGGTTTTACTTTGAATGTTTGTGGGTTAAAATGTTAATGGTCACTTTGAGCTGCAGCATGCTGCGTGGTTAGCTAGGGAAGCCTCATTGGGAAGCCTGCTATGCTTTAGCATGTAGCTAGGCACAATGTGGAACAATGCAGAGCGACATTTACACACTATAGTGCTGCACAATTCACATATATTCACATGTTCACTTGTTTCAGTCGACCAGGGGCAGACACGGCTGCATTTACTGTTTGACATATTTTAATATAACTAGAACCGAAACCCTGCCAGTGATTTTGCGCAGGAGCACACAGATGATGAACAAAGATACTATCTGTTAACTCTCTCTAATTACATTTTTCCTCTCAGTTCCTCAATGAGCACAAGTTGCTGGGAAACATCAAGAATGTTGCCAAAACCGCAAAGAAAGAACAACTGATTATTGCCTATGATCAGCTCTTTGAGAGCAAAGTAAGTGATGATAATGAGACTTTATATTGTGCATGGTGACTCTGCATGCTGGTGGGGGGTGGGGGTAAACAGGCTGCAATGGCCCACACACTCACTCAGTAGTGTGTGTGTGTGTGTGTGTGTGTGTGTGTGTGTGTGTGTGTGTGTGTGTGTGTGTGTGTGTTTCATGCTGTTATTTTTTTATTTGCAGAGGTTTAAAGGCACAGAGCCAGTTGAAGAAATGACCGAGCAGGTGAAAGCTGTTAAAATTGAAGAGAAGCCCAAAGAGGTCAAGACAGAAGTCGTGGACGAGGTACTTGTTTGTTTAATTGAGGGGATGTTATTTAATTTTTTCCTTTGCAAACATATACAAATTATTATGAACCACCTTTGCTTTGCTTTTCATAGGGTCCGCCCAAGTACACCAAGTCTGTGCTGAAGAAAGGTGACAAGACAAACTTTCCAAAGAAAGGAGAGAATGTGAGCTGCTGGTACACTGGTACTTTAGAGGATGGAACTGTCTTCGACACCAATATCCCCGCTGGTAAGTGTGATAGTCCCCTAAAGACCCTAAAGTCATACTGCACCCAAAATAAATTAATATACAATTAGTAATTTCTCTAAGAAGCAAACTCTAGAGAACCCTTGAGCCTTTTAAAACCAGCTTTTCATCACCTAATTGAACTGTCAATACTGTTAGAGCACTTGTCTTCCATGGTTACAGATAGAGCTCAAATAAATCCCCATTGAAGTGGGTTCAAACGTCTGTTCTCTCTCTGCAGCTGCAAGAAAGAAGAAACAAACTAAACCACTGAGCTTCAAAGCTGGCCTGGGCAGAGTCATCAGAGGAGTGAGTGATTCTGATGTTTTTTTGCTCTGTTCATCAAAATGTTTTAGTTCCTCATATGACACGTTATCATCTGCAATCCTTTACTTTCACAGTGGGATGAGGCCATTCTGACAATGAGCAAGGGTGAAACAGCCCGATTGGAGATTGAACCAGAGTGGGCCTACGGAAAGAAGGGTCTCCCTGATTCCAAGTATCCTTTTCTTTGGCTGATTTTGTGCTTCACTTTGTGCATGTCGTGTTAATACACTGTATGTGTTTATAATGTGATGGTTCATTTTAGTTGAATGGTTTTTAAAATGGTCCTGCCTACACAGCTCAGGTTCAGGTATTGTACTGTGGGGCTGAATCTTATTTGGGAGTGTACTTCATTTCCTTCCTGCAGGTGTAATTAGCATTGTCTGTTGTACTTTCCTTAACTCCAGCACTACCAGAATTCCACCCAACGCAAAGCTGATTTTTGAGGTCGAGCTGGTGGCTGTGGATTAACTGACAAACGTTGGCCAGCATGCACTACATTTCAAGGACGGAGGGAAAAAAAGAAATACTCGATAACCTTGTTGTAAAGCTTCAAGTTAAAATGGCATTTGGACTGCGCTGTTCTATTTCTACTTTGTCATCACCTTACAAGAAATGATGACCAATTATTACAATGTTTTACGTTTTGGCCCAAATGTGCTGGCCTGTCAATAATGTATATATGAGATGCCCTGAAACCTTATTCTCTGTATTTTGTTTTGTTCTTTTGCATGTACAATGTAAATGATAAATAAACCTGTTTCAGAGACTGAATTCGTAGTATTGAATGACAATTAACTTCCTGGTTTTTAAATCATTTTACAAATACATATAGGTTAATGTCAATTTGTGCATTTTAACTACAATTCACATGGATGACATCAGCAGAGAACCTATGCCATCAAATATTTTAATTTCCTGTTCCACTATAAGTTACCAATACTTTTGTGCACTGGCTTTCAGGTTTACTGACACTGCTAAAATCTGAATTGTCCATTATGTACAACAGACACCACCAATTTAGAAACAGGCAATAAACTGCACCTTAACGGGGACATGTCATCTGTTTAGTTACATTGTACAATAGCACCATCTGGTTATTAAATGAAGCAAACAGTATAAACATAAGCTAACAGACTTTTCAAAAGAAACCATACATTTCTATTAAAAATCATTTTAAACAGGGTAATGGGGTTTTTTGTGTGACAACACCCAGCAACTAATCCGAAGTTGCCCCTTTTATTGCAGGATAAAACACACACACACACACACACACACACACACAGTTCTTTTGTCCAAGCCAATTTTTTTATTCTGTACAGCAGGATAACATTTAACTTGGTAAAAACTGATGGATGGTGATGACCGTTTTACTCTCAGGCATTGAAGCACTTAGGAGTTGGCATTGGGTCCCTTCTTCTTTCCAAAGGTGGGCACAACATTCACGAAGCGTCTGTTGTACTGGATGCGACGCTTAGCACGGCCAGTCTTCTTTTTCTTCTTCTCCTGCTTGTCAACCTGGAAGAGGGTTACAGGCATCTGTTAGTTCTCTAAGATAATGTATTTTAATGTATCCATCTTAAAGACTAGCACATCCAGAACAGAACACATTTTCATACATATACAAGCATTCTAAGTGCTATACAATGTGTTTTTAAGGTCAATAAAAAGGGGTAAATGTATGAGTTTGTATTATACTGGAAGATGAGGTGCCAGAAAGTGTAAAATCGATTACCTTGGGTGTCTGTCCCCTCACTTTTCCGGCACGGGCCAGAGAGCCGTGAACCTTACCTGAGGAGAGGAAAAGGAGAAATGGAATAGTTAATTGGGACAAACTAGTTCAGACACTGACGTACACATTTTTTCAAAACACTAACATCGGGTCCATAATCTAATAAAACATTTACATATTGCGTGTATATGTATTTATTGAGGATGATCTTACATATAAGGGCTTGCGGCTTGTTTGGGTTTTAGCCAGCAGCACACCCAGACAAATTGTTATGTGCTCAGTCACAATTAAGTATTTGTGATCAAAGAGAAACTTAAGCTTTTGACTTTGAAGGCCAGCATGTGTACCATGTTTTTGTGTGGATGAGTGATTAATCTTACTTTGAAAACACAATTTCAGTCTTTTAAAAGATTATTGAAAATTCTGAGTGATGAGTTTACATCGCTCCCTGCCTTCAAAAGTATATTCTTCCACAAACAGTTGTGGGTTGCACCAGTGCACTCACCTCCCAGCAGCCTGCCAGCTACCTCCAGGGTGCAGTGCTCTGAGACACCGCAGGATGCCAGGCAGGAATCATCCTCCAGTGGGCATCCAGCAAGCAACAGCACCTGATCCTCAACCAGGAGACCCTCCAGAACCTGGACATGGGCCTAAGAGACACCAAAAGAAACGTTTTTATTAAATCCCTTCCCACATGGGTTCACACAGATCAATGACATCCAAATTATGACTAGTTTGAAACCAAAGGTCTGGTGTATTCTCACCAACTTGTACACATTTTACCTTGATCTGGCCAACAGTCTCCTGTCCGGTCACCTCAAGGGTGTGAGTGTTCTGGGCACGCAAGAAGAGCTGCATCTTGATGCTGGAAGAAAACAATAAAGGGCCAAGCGTCTTTAGTACTTTTAAATACTATGCGGAAATATGCTTGTGGATTTATTTTATGAACACTGACTACTAACCCCGCCACGTTGTGCCTGTGTCTGAGACTGTTACATAAGTTACACGTATAAATACACTAACAAAAGTATACCTCGTCACAAAACTGGGAAGTTTAAAATGGATGAGAAATAGTGCCGACAACGTGCCGGGAGCTGGAACTGACTCGTCTCTCTTGGTATCTCGCTAATGCTGTGCTAGCTTAACTAGCCGCATGGGGCACGCGTTTCGTAAAGTCGCTTACAAACACGCAAAATGTTTCGTAATTCTTCTAAATAAAATGTAAAACGTGACAAATTATGATAAGGTTGCTCTATTAGATTACCAAAATCTACCAGGGTCTAATATATTTAGGTTTTTTCACTTAAATTGCACAGGCCTTACCTCGTTTGATGCTAGTCGTTCAACGCTAAGCATAGAAAGGGCTGTTTAAGGGCCGACACTGCGCATGTGCGGACTTACGTAAGCCTTGTCAGAATCGATGGCCACGCCCATCACGCTTTGGAGGATGGAAGTATTTGAGAAAAAAGTTGTTTGTGAATCAATAATTGCTTTTGCAGTTGTTTGAACCGGTAACAACTCAGTGTGTTGCATTTTAATAACACAAAGCTAAAACACGTCTGAGAAATCAAATTAAATTACAATTAAATATTTCCTTACAAGCTCATTACAAGATACTGTGGTTTGAGAAGGCCATGGTTTATTTGGGAATTTAAAACTAAAGACTAGATTGACTTCTGTGAGTCAGCAGTATGTATTAAATAAATATTAAGCTGTCAACTCTTTATATTTCACTGTAAATCACTGCTCAATATAGGCAAAATGTAATATTGTTACATATTAGGTGATCAGAACATGTAGATAAGATTATTTCTGTGCTTAAATATAAATACTTAAATGAAGAACTGTGTGTAATGTCTGTAAATATTTCATAAAGATACTCAGCAGTACTTTGAGCTATTAAGGAATGAAAAGGATGATGAAAACAACAAGTGACATTTCAGGATATCAATCTCTTTATTATGAAATCAAGTCAAAATAAAAAAGGAGGAACTCTTCATTGTATTTATGGAAACATAACCATGAAATATTAAAAATCTTTCAATTTGGGAAGAAACACGACTCAGAGGTACATCAATCAATGCCTCCTTTACAAGTTTAATCTTTAAACACAAAGAAAGAGACCAAACTAAGTAATCCGATCTAAAAATTAAAAAGCTTTTATCACACAGGGAAAAATAAACTGCCTTCACAAATAACATGCATTAATGAACCCCAAAAAAGCAGCCAGTGTTGGAGATGATGGATGTAGCAATTGAAGGTTTTTAAAGAACATGACTGATCAACATGACTGCCATGGAGGGCCAAGTGTATTATATTCCAAACAATAGCTACAAAGTGTAATTTAACTGATTAGCACACTTTAAACCAGAAAAGGAACAAATCAGTTTCTGTGGTTAAAATCTCCATGACACCCTGTTAAGTAGTCTTGTTCAGAGATTTAGGCAGGTCAGAAAGGATGCTTTCCTCTGAGTCTCCATCTTCATGCCAGGATTGTGTCCATCATGTTGGGGGAGGAGGGTAGTACTGGTTATACTGGCCATATTGGTTGTACTGGCCCCAGGAGTTTTGTCCCCAACCGCCGTATTGTTGCTAAAAATAAATAAATAAATAAATTTAAAAAAAGAGAAAAAAGTTGAGTAACCTGATCACTGAACATTTCAACAGGCTTAAAGAAAACATGACTTAACATTTCTAGTTTTGTCAACCCATTGTGATTAAAATAAGTTCTTACTATAAAATACACATAATAAAAGCTGTATATGGCCATACATGCTGGTGTGACAAAGTCAAAGTAAGTTTATTCAGTGCCATCAACTGCTCAGATAAGAAACCTACCTGGTACCAGTTGTAGTTGTATGCAGAGTTGTTGGCCTGTGTGTCTGTCAGTGCGTTTGCTGCACCTGCGGAAGGGTCATCTACACGTTGCCTCTTGGCATCAGGTTCTTGAGAGCTGGAGACAAATAGTTTCAAGTTAGTAAAATCCCTTGCTAGTCGCATTGCCGAGATTAGTATGGGATGCTGTAGTACCTACACTACATTGGTAACGTTTTAGAGGTGCTACAGTCTGTCATACAATGAAAAACTAACTACAGGACACTTTAGTTGGACTGCTATTATTTGACAAACTTATGAATTTAATGATGTGTTGATGTGACCCAAGCCCTGTTCCGTTATCCACCTGTCATATCCGTTCTCGGCTTTCCTCTTTGAGGGTTCGCTGTCTTTCTGTAGTTTCTGATGTTCCTCATATGCAGCCACAAGCCTACAAGATTTTAAAAGAAAAGAAAATGACTCAATGTCAAACATGACAACCCCATTCATAATACTCAACCACTGTCTAAAAGTAATTAAAAACTCACACATTGATGTCACTGCCAAAGTCCTCAAGGAACTCGACCTTGCGCTGGCTGAAGAGAAGGCGGGATTCAAGAGGCATCGGGCTGTTCAGGGCCCGGTCAAAACAAGCCAAGATCTCAGCCTCATTCTGCGTCACATCTCCACTGTATTCCAGCTCAAGCAGGTTTAGATAGAGTTTTGGACTCGTCTGTAAAGCCACAAAATATTAGCATGTCACAACCTTTGCGATATAGCCTGGGTGAAAAGTTATAATATAATTTTTTTATTGCATACATTAAGGCAGTTCATTATCTTTAAAAGTAATGTGGACTGTTTTAAATTGTGCTCAACTGAAAAACTGTCGAAGGTCATCGACCAGCTCTCACCTGGTCTTTTTCAATAGCATCCAGCAGCACCTTCCTGGCTTTGCTCAGACTTCTCTGCACCTTCATCTGCTGCCTGGCCAGCTTCACAGCATAGAACGATGTCTCAGTAGCATTCTTCGCAGACTCCATGGCCTCCCTTAACAAGGCCTCCGCTTCCTCCAAGTTACCATGACGACGCTCCAGACTGACTCTCCGAAGGCGCACCATGGCCAGACCTGGGACTGATGCTTCTAGGGACTTCAGGATGCCACGAGCCTCATCTACGTTGCCTGGGCAAAGTAAAGCAGAATACTGTCAGTATGACCAAACTTAGTCAA